GAACGAAAGTGGGCATCTCATGAATGCCGTTGAATGGCACAGAAGAAGAGAGATGCGTGGAAGGTACGGGAGCAAAAACAGGAAGCAGGGCTCAGTGTCTTTTCTCTCCCACACGAGTGTGCAAACCAACCTCCCCTTTCCAACACGAAAGTAAAGCTCGACAGAGGTGGGGACACGGTGCTCTTCTCATTTTCAGAGACAGCGGCATGATTAACAGACATCCCATCAGCACGCAAAAGAATTGTCACGGAGTGAATAAAACTCCCAAGTGCAAGGTGATTCAGCGATGAGGGCTTTTTTTTTTTCCTTTTTTCTTCACTTTGGCCCCATGGACAACCCATCAGAATTTGAAGGGGAAATTCCAGACATACCGGTCTGAAAAGATATCGCTGTCCGTGCAGAGATGGTGGCAAATATACCGGGTAATTTCGCGGTGAATTTGCAGAAAAGCCCTTTCTGGAAGGTAAGATTTCTGCGCAGATCTACCAGACTGAGTCCGCCTTGCGGTAATTCCGTGTTTGGAAGGTTTCTGCGAAGATTTACCGAACCTTTCTTTTTTTTTTTTTTTGCCATTCTAATCGTCTCTGTATAGCTCCAATTTCTTTTTATTTTTTTATTTTTCTTATTTTTTTTGGATCGCTCGCTCCAATTTTAACAGATGTCCCGAAGGACTTACCGAACACTGTCAGATTTACCGGTCCGCTCTGCGATAATTCCGTTTTTGGAAGTTTTCTGCGCAGATTTACCGAGCGGCGGAGCGGTAAAGTTGGTACGATAGATTTTAAAAACGGTATATTTCTCATAATTTCTGCAATTTCCCCAGAATTAAACTGCATTAAATCGTTTGATGTGGTTTGGTTATTTCTATTTGTATCTATTTATTCCCACTCATAACTTCATAAGTGACACACGAAAGAGCATAGTCGACCCCCGAGTATGAAATCCAGAAACGAACAGGCAAAAAAAACGGAAGAGCTAGGAGACATATTAACACCGAGTTTATGATACCTCCCAAATCTTGAAGGAACGGTAGACGGTACACCTGAAAAGCGGCACCTTACGGAAGCATTCTTGTGCTTTTTTTTTCTTTGCTAGCAGCAGAGATCAAGAACTAAGAACTACTGTCCTCCGGTCCTTCGATACATCCGCTTAAAGGATTGGAACGAGAGAGAAAGAAGATTAGCATGGCCCGTGCGCTTTCAAGGATGACACGCATAAATCGAGAAATGGTCCAATTTTATTTTTATTACATAAAAAGAAACGAGCTACTCTCCACCCGTTTCGTTTACAGAAAAGACGAGCACAAAATCAAAAAGGGACTGTGGTGCTTTTCCCATTCATTGCCCGTTCGAAGATAGTAATATCGGCATGAATTTAACCGTTCAACGAGGACAGATCCATCCAGAGGCATGCAATTCTCTGAAGCCTGAAGGTCCGTGAAGGATCAACAAGATTCAGATGAAAGAGAGACGATATAGCAAGTCGAGACTCAAAGGAGTTTTTTTCGACGAGGAAGAATCGAGTCACGATCTCGAGCACAGTGCACACAGGTCATGTGTAGAAACGGACACGTGGGGACCTTTTTTAAATGGACAAGCTGAATTATGCAGCTGGAGCTCAGTCCACGAGATTTTTCGCCTTTAACAAAATTGATATCGTAACTAAAATCCGGGAAAGCAAAGAGTACAGCACATCCAGATGAAAAAAGACGCTCTCCCACTGAGTCTGCCGATCTTCAGTCAAGCTCACTCGATCATGGTCCCTCACATTCCCGTGGGACACAGACGCACAACGCGGAGATTACCTTCTCCTCTACGACTATTTAGCTGAGTGCATACGTGACAAAAGCACCAGCACGCACACTGCGGCAGATTACTTCATCCTCTCAGTCCTCTACCGTAACGGTTACTTTAGCTGAGTTCATTCGTGACAATCACAAGCGCATCATGATACACAACGTCGGCCACCAGGTCGAGAAGCTGCGCCCCCCCTTCCCCCCACAACCCCCCAACAATCACACAGACAATCACACACACACACACACACACACACACACACACACACACACACACACACACTACACCAAAAAAAGGAATGGGCTCACCAGATTTATCACAGAATTTCCATTACCAAGCTACCGCCAGCTCGTCCGACTCCAGAAATAAATCCCCTCTATATTATACTCTGTGACAACCTCAGTACACATCACGAACCCGAACACAGTCCCTGCCAGCGTGTTATATTACATAATATTAATACATAGACACCAAACACAAGAGCAAATGGGATCACCAGACTCACCACAGAGTTTCCACTATCACCCTTGGAGTTTTGGGTCCACCAGACTCCAGCTTAATAGAACTGAAGCTACCGCCTCCGTACGCATCACGAACCCGAACACAATCCCTCCCCACTTCTACTTACAGATTCTGAAACTATGATAAACAAAATGGCATTGCTGGAATTTGCTGCCCTATGCTCTACGTTACATTCAGCAGACAGACTCTCAACCTCCCCCTTTTCGCTGAACCCTCTCTCACGCGCTTACGTTGCTACCGTCTTCCCCCCCCCCCCCCCCCCCCAACACAACGCACCCTGATAAGGAATCCATACAAGCTATGTTTCCGGTCCCGTGCAGCCAATGTGATCGACGTACTTTCTCTTTCGGAGGGAAGAAGGTAAGGCACTACAGTTGGCTGCCCTGCCTTCCTACGAGCTCGCCGGCTTCTTAGCATTGCTTCCAGACGAGATCCAACGGCTTGGGCAGGGAGTCCAGTCGAATGATCCCCCCTCCCTTGGCCTGCTTGCCTGGGTTCACCTTGACTTCGAGTTGCAATGACAGGCTATGTTTTCCGCCGCACTGGCTGTAAAGTGCCAAATCGAATCCGTTCGTGTATTCGAAGTTGTCGTCCAAGGGTCCCTGGATCTTGCGAGTGAGGCGAGCCGTCCCTGTCTTCCCCGGGACGTGGTAAAACGCCTTAATCGACCCAGACGCCCCTCCATCGAGCTTTGCGTACCCGCCGAAAGTGACCGACCCCAACCCTACAGCGAAGCCTTCAGGGTAACTGAGATCTATGGTCATTGAGCACATCTTCCTCCGCTCGGCCGCGCTGCTGTACGTCGTAGCAATGAACTTGGTGAACATCATCGTCATCGCCTTCCCGTCCTCGGAGACAGACGATGCGAAACTCCCGGAAGGACACCCGTCGCCTGCGTAGCTAAAGCCGTCCATCGTCACCGAGCCCGGTGGTGGACTAACGGCAGATCCCTGCCCGGCCAACTGCAGGATCAGCAGCAGCACCAGAGGCAGCAGCAGGCGGGCCGTCTCTGCCATCGGATAGACAGTTCGCAGCAGCCTCCGCTCCATCTCTGCCGCCTTCAGTCTGTGGTCGTCGTGACCTGCTGAACAGACTGGAGTGGCTATGGGGTTACCAAGAGGTTGTCCACGTGTCACTGCCACGGACGTCGGCCGTCTCGAGCTCCACGAGGCTACTACACCCACCTCACACAACGCTGCGCAGCGTTTAACACACGCAACGCCCTCTCTTCTTCTCCACTTGCAATCTCTTCTTCTTCTCCCCTACACACAGAACCTGGCCCCTTATGAAGAAGAACGATACGCCGGTGGGGGGGGGGGGGAAGTCCCACTGTAGCAGCAGCGGTGAGTTTCCCCAGCGTCCTGATCTGGATGGGCTTTGGAGATGTGCGGTTGCTGTTGCGACTTGGCTCTAGAGGGGGGAAAGCCGAACTCGTAGCTGGTAATAAAAAATAAAAATAAAAAAGGGGGGGGGTAACTATGGCACAGTCACGAAAACAGTTTGAAAATGCACTTCAGGCACTCCCCAAGCATAACAGCGCCCCACGTGAAACCTAGCTGGTATACATATTAGGGCCAGATCCCACTGGCAAGGACTATCGGACAAAGTGTCTGAATCTGGACGTGTTCCACGCAGAGATGCAGAAGAGAAGATCTATCACAGTTTTCTGCACCTGGCCACAAACACGTCCAGATTCGGGCACTCATTCCAATCCCCTTTGCCAGTGGGATCTGGCCCTTAAATTCTACATTTTCAGGCCTTTTTTCCTGACGTGCATATTCTAACTCAAACCCTGACTGGGCAGTAGTTTCCTAAATGGGGTAACTACGGCGCAGTCACGAAAGCAGTTTGTAATTGCATTTGAAAGTTGAAATAGAGATTTTAGCAGTTGTAACCTATATTCTTCTCTCAATCTTCTTTTGTATATATTCTATCTCATTCTCTCTCTACTCTATGTATAGCACGGGGGGGGACCACCACCCAACCAAACCTGGAACTCTCCCCAGCCCACGGGGTAGGTTTGCACCACAGCAGCGGTGAGAGAGCAAGGCTTGTATCAGCCCCTCTCATCACAATCTTCGGTTGTAACTGAATGTGTAGTTAATTCGTAGATGTTGTTGTTTTTTTTTTTTTTTTTTTTTTTTTTGTAGTAAATTCGTAGACGCTGTATTTAAGGTAAACAACAAGTTCCAAATAATGGGAACTACCCAATAATAAATAAGAAAAATTTCACAATTCCTAAGGGCCTCGCTCCACTACTCTTGACATGCACAAATGACAAAAAATATGGGGGTGCATCTTTCCAACTTCTAGCTGAAGATTCATCCTCATTTTGCACATTTAGAGAGTAGTGGAGCGAGGCACTAAGTCACTGGTTACTCAAAATCATGGCTATTCTGTTGAGTTTTCCTGTTTTACAATTGCTATATCATTTTACTTTATTTTTTTTAATTTTAAAAAGGTAAGCTATATTCTTCTCTCATCTATCTCATTTTTCTTGATAGTAGGCATCTATCTCATCCTCTCACTATTCTATATATAGTATGGCGGAACACCAACCAACCCGGATCCCTCCCCAGCCCACAATATTCAACAGTCAGGCATTGAAGAGGGGGGGAGCCGGAGATGCTAGTGCCCAGCATCTTTGGCCAGTCACTTGCACCTCCCCGTACCCCCCTCCAACCCCACATCATTGCTGCATAAAAACCAACAATATTTGGCCAAGGTCCCGAGTTTCAATTGCAGTCAGGGCCCTCGTCCATCCACCAACAGCAGATCAAAAAGAAAAAGAAAAAGAAAAAGAAAAAAAAAGCATCCCTTATGCGGTGATTGCAGTCCTATACAGGATGCTACAGTACTGGAACTAAATGAAAGGAGGCAGTTAGCTGCCTCGCGTGGAATCCGCCCTGCCTGGCTGGCAGGGCGCTAGAAGGACCTCAAACCAAAGAAAACGACATGTCTCGCGGTCCTCACATACTGGCCAGATACATTCCTCAAAGCACTGGTGTAACTTCCACGTACCTGAATTATAGTTCCTCTTTTCTTTTCTTTTTTTTTTCCTCTTTTTCTTTCCTTTTTCTTCTTTGACTCCCATCCCTGCACTGTTGAAATACAGACCCCGAGACATCTCGGCCGTGGCCAATCCGGAGTGTGGCCGAGACATCTCGGCCACGGCCAGTCTGGGGTGTGGCCGATACATCTCTCGGCCGTAGCCCAACCATGGGGCTGTTTTTTTTTGTTTTTTTTTTTCCAGCCGTGGTGTAATGCACAACCAAAAAAAAAAAAAAAAAAAAAAAAAAAAAAAAAAAAAAAAAAAAAAAAAAAAAAAAAAAAACCGGTCATG